TTGAGTGCTGGGCTGCGAGGCTGCCCACAGCCTCTGCAGCACCGGTTCAGTTCCTGGCGAGGGTCCCACATGGCGCGACAGACCTCTCCTGCCACGCCTGCTTCTCCCCTCAGCAGTGTATTTCGTTGGTCTGCCTCTTCTGTTTCCCCGCTCTGGCTCTGGTGAATTCTCTTGCCCTCCCGTGCTTCTGACTGTACCCAGTGCTTGTATAAATAAATAAATCTAAAAAAGAAAAGAAAATTGATGTTGCACCCTCATCAGAGTCTCTGGATATGGAAGAATTCAGTACTTAATTAAAAGGGAATAATACAGACAAACGATATCATAATTAACATCTAGTCCACTCTGATAAAGTGCTTTGGGGAGTCAATTATGGAAGAAGTTGTATGACTACTCATTCCATTTCACTATGGGTTAGGAAGAGAAAAAAATAGTGGGAGAAAAATAGATGACTGGATCAAGAAGATGTAGTATATATACACAATGGAATATCATTCAGCTATCGAAAAAGATAAACTCATGCCATTTGCAGCAACGAGGATGGAGCTAGAAGGAATTATGCTCAGTGAAATTATCAGAAGGAAAAAGAAAAATATCGGGTGGTTTCACTTACAGCAGGAATATAGGGGAACCAAATAAGACTCCAGTGTAAAAAAAATACTACAACACACAACAAAGCAAAACCAGACAATTATAAATCAGGGACATACTGCAGGGGAGGAGGAGGGAGAGGGATCAGAGGGAGGGAGGGAGGAGCACAGGGGACTGAGATGATGGTGCACGAGTGCATTGGTGAAGGAAATTCTATGTGGACTACACCTGAGGGGGTGGGGGGAAGCAAATATTGTTAGAAAATGAACAATATTGTAAAAACTTAAAAATAAAAAAAAAAGTGGGAGAAACAGGGGCCAAACAAAGGATAAGTAGCTAGTCACAAGGTTTTACAGAAGTAAAAATAAGTAAATGAATATATTTGGACATGAAAAAAAAAAAAAGACAAGGAAATTATTTCACGGCAGAATCCTCTGTGTGCCTCTTGCCTTGGCTCTTCATTTCTCACTTTCCTGACACTCTCCAGGGAAGCACACGTCCCATCCTCCTGTAGCTCCTGCCTCATCCCAGGGAGCACCGCCTCAGTGCTGAGGACATTTATTTCCTATTATAAAGAATGAAAAAACTTAGCTTTGTGGATAATTTTTTTTGTGGAATCTTATGTAACATTTGAACAACTGAGAACAATGTGTTTCATATGTTGTAATTAGCCTGATCTTTGGCTGTTTTTAAAGTGTAAACTCAGGGGCCTCCCCGGTGGCAAAGCTGGTTGAGCGACGCTGTGAAGCTATCTGCAGTCTCTGCAGTGCTGGTTCGATTCCCAGCCTGCCAGGGAGAAACCCACATGGTGCAGCAGACCTCTCCTGTTGTGCCCGCTGCTTCCCCTCAGCAGTGCTTTCGGTCCATCTGCCTGTTCTGCTTTCCACTCTGTCTCTGGTGAATTCTCTCACACTCCCGTGCCTCTGCCTGTACCCTAGTTCTTGTATGAATAAATCTTAAAAAAAAATAAAGCGTAAACTCAGAGGTTGAGTTAAAGCATTAGATGTATAGATGGCACTGGTAAATGTGTAATGTTAATAACCTTGAGTTAAGAGGTATAATTTCTTTTGATTATTCTTGGTGGGCTATCACTGATGCTTGAGCAAAGTGATGACAATGAGGATAGCCTGTATTCAAGTCTGAGAAAATTAAATAGAAGAGCAGATTGTTCAATTCTTAACAAATTTAACTATCAAAAAAACATGTTTTTACATTACATGAGTGTAGTCAAATCACTTACTTTCTCAGGGCTCAGCTTTTTTACCTATAAAAATGGCAAAAATACCTACTTGGTAGGATTACCATATAATTAAGGTATTTATTTGGCAGTAACTGGCAGGATGCTTAGTGCAAAGTAGCTCAATGCATTTCCTTTGTTTTTCTCCCTTTTTCTTCTTTCTCAAGGCCACTTCTCTGATCTCTAATAGTTTAATCACAAAAGAACCAAGTCCCAGAAGACAGTACTTTTCTTCCATCTTTTTTTTCCCTTGTGTAATTTCCTTGTTAGTAATAAGCTTACACATAACATGCAAATTAAGCAAAAATCTTTGCCTCCCAATTTGCTTTCTTTTTCTGGTCTTTTCTGTTTCCAAGAGACCTCTGTATTTAGGCAGTGTATTTCACTGTTTTAACGTTAGTGTCTCAAAAGTTACATCATTTCCTTATTTTTCAAAGAAGTACTTCTTTTAATTTCCTCATTTTCTAACCAAACATCATTTTCTTTTCCAAATCATTAACCCAAGTTGATTGACCCTCAGTGATTAATCCTAGTGACTCTGTTTCACCCATTATTTTATCTTCTGACACCTTAAAAAATTCATCTTTAGTTTATAGTATATTAATTTGATAGGTCATTTTAGAAGAAAAGGGTGTCTTTGGATGTAATGATAGAGATTAAGATTTAATTTTGATTTTGTTACTTGGAAAAAATTTTTTGGCTAGTAATTTCTTAGCCAGCTTTCTAAAATCCCTTTTGATGTAGCCATAAGCAGCCTCTTTCATTTGTCTTATTACATTCATGGAATACTAAGACAATAACTTGAATTAGAGGTATTGCCTGGATATGATCCAGTATTTCTTTTTTTTTCCATAGTAATATATTATTTTTATTTTATTTTTTTTAAATAATAAATTTTATTTTTATATTCCCCATACAATTGCAGCCCAATTCTGACCCCAATCTGACCCCAATCCCTCCCCTCCCGTCCCTCACCCCCCAAAAAGTGTCTCTGGTTCATAGTTTTTTGTTGATTTTGATTTTCACTTTCTTATAGTTATTCATTTTCCTGGTCCCTTATTTAAGTTTTCTAGATTCCTGCTATGAGTGAGACCATCCGGCATTTTTCTTTTTCTTTTTGGCTTATTTCGCTGAGCATGATCCCTTCCAGCGCCATCCATGTTGCTGCAAATTGCATGTGTTTATCTTTTTTGAATGCTGAGTAATATTCCATGGTATATATGTACCACATCTTCTTGATCCAGTCATCTATTTTTGGGCATTTGGGCTGTTTCCAAAGCTTAGCTATTGTAAATAGTGCTGCTATAAACATAGGGGTGCAGGTGTTCTTTGGAATGGATGTTTCTGTGTCCTTTGGGTAAATACCTAGGAGTGGAATTGCTGGATCATATGGAAGCTCTATGTTTAGTAGGTCCAGAAATCTCCACACAGCTCTCCATAGTGGTTGGACCAGTTTGCACTCCCACCAGCAGTGCAGAAGAGTTCCTTTTTCTCCACACCCTCGCCAACATTTGTTGTTGCTAGTTTTTTTAATATGTGCCATTCTCACTGGTGTAAGATGGTATCTCATGGTAGTTTTGATTTGCATTTCCCTGATGACAAGTGATGTTGAACATTTTTTCATATGTCTGTTGGCCATTTGCATTTCCTCTTCAGAGAAGTTTCTTTTTAGCTCTTCTGCCCATTTTTTGACTGGGTTATTTTCTTTGTTGTTGCTGAGTTTCATCAGCTCTTTGCAGATTTTTGTGATCAGTCCTTTATCATTAGTGTTGTGTGCAAAAATGTTCTCCCAGTTGGTGGGGTTTCTCTTTGTTTTTGTTATTGTCTCTTTTGCTGTGCAGAAGCTCTTTAATTTGATGTAGTCCCAGCTGTTTATCTTTGCCTTCACTATCACTGCTTTGGGTGATGTGTCTGTAAAGATGTCTTTGATGTGCAAATCACGTAGTGTTTCGCCTATATTTCCTTCTATATATTTTATGGTTTCAGATCTTATGTCTAGTTCTTTAATTCATTTTGAGTTGATTTTTGTGTATGGTGTGAGGTAGTGGTCAAGCTTCATTCTTTTGCATGTAGCGACCCAGTTTTCCCAGCACCATTTATTGAACAAACTTTTCTTTGCTCCAATGCATAGTCTTTGCTCCTTTGTCAAAGATTAGTTGACCATAAATCTGTGGGTTTATTTCTGGATTTTCTATTCGATTCCATTGGTCTGTATGTCTGTTCTTGTTCCAATACCATGCAGTTTTGATGATTATGGCTTTGTAGTAGAGTTTGAAGTCTGGGAGTGTGATGCCTCCATTCCCTTCTCTTTTTTTCAGGAGAGCTTTGGCTATTCGGGGTTTTTGGTGATTCCATATGAATTTCATCAATAATTGTTCTATTTCTTTGAAGAATGACATTGAAATTTTGATTGGAATAGCATTGAATCTGTAGATTGCTTTTGGTAGGATGGCCATTTTAATAATGTTTATTCTTCCAATCCATGAGCAGGGTATGTCTTTCCATTTCTTTGTGTCTTCTTCTATTTCTTTTAACAGTGTTTTATAGTTTTCTTTGTATAGGTCCTTTACCTCTTTTGTTAGATTTATTCCCAAATATTTGATATTTTTTGTTTCAATATTAAAAGGGATGGTTTTTTTGATTTCTTCTTCTTCAGATTTATTGTTTGTGTATAGGAAGGCTACTGACTTTTGCATGTTGATTTTGTATCCTACCACTTTACTGAACTGATTGATGAGTTGAATTAGTTTTTCTGTGGAGTTTTTGGGGTTCTCTATGTATATTATCATATATGATCCAGTATTTCAATAATTACAAGCAGATTATGTCAGAGGGCATTTTGTTTCAGCATTATTGAACTACAACCAACTTTGCAAAAAGCTTAGCAAATCCATTGCTAGATTCCAAGTAAATGATGTTTTTTATTTTTCCAGTACTGTGCTACCATTTTAGCTAATAATAATAAATCAAATGACAATCAAAATTCAGTAGAAATTAGTAATAAGAATTAGCAAAAATTAAATTCTTAAGAGCAAGAAATTTTATAAAATAAATTAGAAAGAAATTTTATTGATGAGGAAATCAAAAGTAGGAGTAAAAGTAGCTTAGAACTTATATTTAGTTATTTGGCTTTTGTGGGCTTCTCATACCTTTCTTCACTTTATCCCTGCAGGGTCTCAAAGGACATCCGGGGCTCCCAGGACTTCGGGGTGAACAGGTAAATGCTTCCTTTATAATTGTAAGACTTGCGTCTTCTCCAATGCAGAAGTCACATATTTCGGAAAATCATTGAGAGATTATTTCCCCTCACATACTATTTTAATTTTTCTTAATGACTTTTACTCTGTTTACAGGATAAGCTTTTAATTGATTATTTGTTATAGTTTCATTTTTTTCAGATTCCAGATTGATTTTCACTATTTGCATTCCATGTTCCAGAATAGCAGTTCTTAAACTATTGCAGTTCAGAAGGCCTTTGAGAATCTCATAAATTATATAATCCTTTCCCCTAAAAAAGTCATAACCATGCACTTTCTTGTTTATATATAATACACACCCCTGGCAGTGTTCACTATAAACATATGTATGTATTTGTAAGGCAAAATAGTTTGGGAATTTGGTGGATTTTGATTGTTATTCATTCTTTCTCTCTCACCAGAAAATATACCAGAGGGAAAAATAAAGCCATATCTTTTGTTGTTCATATAATTTGTAGTAAGCCAGTAAAGCAATGGAAAGAGTAGAAGCTTAGAAACTAGAGTGCTGGATTCCATTATTGGAGATTCAGTGAAAGCCTCAGGAAACCCTAATGGGGGCTCCTAGAAGACATGGATGGTTCCTAAAGGAAAGATATAATGGAAATAAAACCAGTGTTCTCTTTTATTCTCCTGATTCATGTTAAGTGGACTAGTACACTGTTCAGTCCTCGAGTCACTGTTTTTCAAGATTGCTAATTGTTGGTCCTGGTAAGCAGAGTGATGTACGTTTCTGTAACAGCTGTAATCTTGGTTTCCTAAAGATCAACCATGCTGAAAAACATTTAAGCATTTATGAGAAAAGTCAGAAGTGTGGGAGGGATTAGACTCTGTGGAGGAAACATAATTTTGAGAAATGTGTGGCCACCAATGTAGAAGATGTGGTACTTGTCAAATTAGTGAAGCATAAGCGGTGCTAATACTGGCCTGCTCTCTAAGCTGGTTCTGTGGCGGTGTGTTACTGTTCTGAGGGTGGTACACCTTTCCTAAGGGCTAAAATCAGTTTCAAAGGTCAGAAAATGTATCTTAGCATCAATTCTTGCTTTCTAGTCTACTTGTTTTCATAAAGAGAACAATTAAAGGTAACCTTGAGGAACAACTAAAATCATTTCGCACTTTGAGTGGAAAAGCTCTGGGCATTAAAAGGAGTGTAACTAATTTTCTAGAAGACAGTCACGTATGCCAAATGTGTAAACACCTATAAGTTACTGAGCAAGCATTTGGAAAAGGAGTTATATCATCTTTGCCAACTCTAACAATAACCATCATTTACTGAGACCAACTGCTACTCCTATTAACTACAGCTTTTAGTAGTATAATTATTTCTTGAATATTTGTATGTGTTAACAAATTTAATGCTCAGCAACACTAAGAATTATTGCAGTTACCCCCACTTTCAAACACATTGTTTTCTCCACACAATAACCTGTGACCTACATCATCTTTTTCTATTTACTAGAGAGTGCTGAGATATGGAGAGGGACCCACATTAGCCGTGCTGGGATTCTCAGTGACACCTACTGATTCAGGGAGTGTGCTTTCATGCCTAAGTGAGAACTTAATGGGTACAGGAAATTCCTGTTCTGAATTTCCCCAGTGCCTAGAAATATAACTTTGTGTCTAGATGACTGTATACAAACTATAGATTTAAGTGAACCAACATTTTTTTTAAAGATTTATTTATTGATGCATACAAAAACTGGAGTACAGGCCAGAGGTGCAAAGGGGTGAGAAGGTTCATCAGACACAGAGTGGGGAGCAGAACAGGCAGACAGCTGAAATACACTGCTGAGGGGAGCAGGGGTGAGTCAGGAGAGGTCTGCTGCACCATGTGGGTAGCTCCCTGGGGATCAAACTAGTGCTGTAGAGGCTGCAGATAGCTTCACAGCACTGTGCTTAACCTAACCAGGAATGCCCTTTCATGCCACCAGGGATGCCCTGAACCAACAGTTTTTTGAAACCATTTTTAAGTGCAGAGTGAATTGAGTCATGATGTTTGTTTTGAGTTTCTTTTGCATTTCTGTGGCTGTAGCAATGCTTTTGAAGTATTGTTGGCTTAGAATATGTTTATGCCATATAAAGACTACACCAAATGCTTACTCACTGTCCTTCCCATAGAGCAGAACTTAGCTGCTCAGTGTTGTTCTGTTGTGTATGCTCTATGGTGCTCGAATGTGCTAGAGTTCTCCAGGTTGTCTTAAAACCTTCTATAAAAATCTAATTAAAATCAGATTTCATCTATATTTTAGAGTAGATTGATAACCCCTTTAGCTGGTTTCATTCCTTTCTATTTGCATATCCAAATACAAGGGCTGGTGATTGGATGTGGGCCTGTATATTTTAGAATTGGTTAGGTCATGAAAGGATGGCTGTAAATGGACTTGAGCAAATCTCATGATTAGAGGGATTTCCCTGGAATACTCTGGGAAGTTATTTGTACTTCAGACCTACACTAGGAAGAAACCTGGAATGGTGGTCTCTGGAGTTAGTTAAATCCTGGCTTCCCACTTACTAACTTAGAAATTTCCAAGGTAATTTGATCACTTTGACTCATTTTACCTTTGTATGTAAGGATAATGACACCCATCTCATAGAGCTTAAACAGATTAAATAAGAAAATACATAGAAAATACTTAAAATAGGGCCTCCCTGGTGGCGCAAGGGCTTAAGACACAACCTATGAAGCTGTCTGCAGCCACTGCAGCATGATTTTGATCCCCGGCCAGGAAGCTACCCACATGGCTCAGCGGACTTGTACTAACTTGCCCACTGCTCCCCTCAGCAGTGTGTTTCAGTCAATCTGCCTGTTCTGTTCCTCGCTCTGTCTCTGGTGAATCCTCTCAACCCCCACACCTCTGGCCTGTACCCCAGTTCTTATATGCATAAATAAAGAAATCTTCAAAAAAAAATACTTGAAATAGTACCTAGCACATGATAGGTGCTTAGTTGATGTTATATGTAATATTAATAAGGTAAGGTAATATTTAATATGTAAATATGATTTCTGTAATTCATAGGATATAACTCTCCACATGTAGACAAGAATTTGGCAATCCTCAGAAGCCACTATGAAATTGTCCATTGTCTGACAGATAGATGTATACAGATGTGTGTGTAAATGTGTGTTTGTGTAAACACACATATAACTTTTGTAAGATTGCCTGAGTTCACATCTAAGCTATACTGTTTACTCATTGTGACACCTTGGGTAAGTCTCATAGCTTTGCTGTATCTTACTTTTTTTCATGCGTAGAAATGGAGACAGTGGTGTTTGCTTTACAGCAATAAAGTAGATGTAAAGTGCTCGCATCATGGCTGGCACATAAAAAAGTACTCAGAACATCCCCATTTGCCTTTTTTGGTCTATTCTTTATCTTGATTTTCCAAATATTTAGGATTTTGAAAGTGTTTATATACATAAACTGGAGGTTGCACTCTTCTGTCTGCTTCAGAATGGAGGGGAAAAGCGCTCTTGTCTTTTATTATATCTTTTAATGAATTTTATGTAATAAGGAATCTATAAAACATTGCTGTCACTATTTGAGGTGAAGAAAAGGCAGCACAACACATTCATTTGGCATTTCCTTGGTTCAATAATTATTTAACAGTTGATGAATGAATAAAGTATTAATGGAATGGTTTTTTTAGTGGAGGTATTTCTTGTCACATTCTCACCCAGTCCTGCTCCAAGTTTCCTTGAGTCCACAGGTCAGTCTTCCAATTAAGAATAAAAACTTGTCAATTCAAAGAGTTTATCATTCAGTTTTTTGTGAATTTTTGGAGAGACCTGTGTCATGATAAAGGTATTTACATCTTAATATCTGCCTTAATCAGACTTGCTGTAAGTTTACCTTATCATAAATTTGTTTTTTTCCTAAGTTCATTTTATTTTTTGTATTTTTTAAATTGAACTAGCATTGGCTAACAACACTGTATAAGATTCAAAAGTATAACTAGATGCCTCTTCAGATGTGTTACCACAACTCTTCCCTCCATGGTATCCATCGTCCTCCAGTAGTCTGTAAGTTTACCTTAGAAAAGAAAAGCTTGGTTTTGCAATTGACCACCCCTCCCTTTTAGTGTTCTGGGGCCCATGATCAGATAGTTAAGGAGAGTTGCAGGATGATTGCAATAAGAAATTTAAAAAAATACTGGTTATTAAGAAATGTACTAACTCTTTATGTGCCATCCTTGGTTCTTTTGTTATTACTAATAATTAATGTCTTTTTCTAAGGCCCCGATCTAACAGCTTTATTTTTATTAAAAGTTGCAGTTCATTTTTGCTTCTAATAGATAATTTCAGGTAGATAAACAACATGCAGTACTCTTTATATTTTTATGGGGAAAACATTTTTTTCAAATGTAGGTATTATAACTGTGTCAATTTTTTCTTTTCTTGGGCTTTTTCTTTTTCTTTTCTTGACTTTATTGTGGTGTTTTATTTTTCATTTCAGGGAATTCCAGGGTTTGCTGGTAATATTGGTTCACGTGGCTATCCTGGCAGGCAGGTGAGGTAACTATATTTACACCTTTCCTTTTATGTTTTCATTAATGCATCACATGTTCTAACTTTGAGAGTTAATGTTCAAATTATAATTATTTTATTATTAAATAATGAATCACTTATAGCAAAGTAATTTCATAATCAATTATAATAAGCCTTCAAAGATTTTATTGTGGAATGTTTTGTTTAAAATGGGGGTGGAATCTCTAAACATGTTTCATAGGATGTATAGTAGAACTATCAAAGTTACAGTGGTCTAAGAAGATCTAAAAACAGCCTACTGCTGCTTTTATAAAACTGTGCACTGACTAAAACCAAGTAATGGTAAGTGTTAAGGCTCTCTATAATCAGCATCATTTTAAAATAACACAGTTGTAAAATATGACTTGGGAAATAAGTGGCAGTGCCATTTTATTTATACCAATATATAATATATATATTATATAAAGGGCAGTACCATTACACACACACACACACACACACACACATTCAAGTTAATATAATATATTTTATGTAATAAGGAATCTATAAAACAATATTGCTGTCACTATTTGAGGTGAAGTAAAGGCAGCACAACACATTCATTTGGCATTTCCTTAATATATATATTATTATATATTATATATTATTTTATATCTATTAACCTGAATTCAGGCCTGTATTTTAAAAATTCATTGTAATCATTTGGTGTTTAGTTCCCTCTAATTCCAAACTTTCCAAACTATTCCATGCAGGCTAATAATAGAACAAATTTTCTCTTCTAGGTTACAGAATTGAAAAGTTAATTTATTGTTACAAAACTCTGTTTTAAGGTCTTTATAAATATGTGGGTTATTACATTAAAGTTTTACTACCAAGTTATCTTGGTTATCTGAGAAATATAAAATATACTCAAACATGGACATTAATATAAAGTTAAAAATGTATTTCTTTAAAAAATACATTGTAGATAAGTTTATTAGAAGTTAGATAAATTTATTAGAAGTATCTTAGAAATCAGTTTTGTATAAAGAACCTAATGGAAAAAATTTTTTATATCTCAATGTGTCATCTACTTTATTTAGATATCTAAACTATATTTGTGTATAGATTATGTACAATGTCTCTTGGTTCTGAGATTCTAATGTTTCTTGAACATGTTTATAAGCTTCAGTAAGTAAACAGAGCTCTGAATTTTATACTTTTGAAAATATTCTTTTTTACATGCCCTTTTTGTTAACTGATTATCAACAACTTTATCTCTTTAAAAGGTACTGCAGAATGATGATAATGTCTTTTGTTCACACTAGGGTTTAGCTGGAATAGAAGGTAATCCAGGTCCTAAAGGTGTACGAGTAAGTAAGCATTTTCATTTTTATTTTAAGCATGCTTGCACAAGAACAGAATGAAATATACAAACACCTGTCATTTGCGTATTTTCTTACGTACTTTAAATGAAATGCAAGTTTGTTCTGAAAAGAAGTGCAGTTATTTGTTAGGTACTTTCACTTTCCTGGCCACAGAAGCAGTCCTAAGTCTTAAGTAATCTTTCCCATTTATTTCCAGCTCCTAGCATAATGTCAGAAGTTGAATATGCTCTATAAACATGAGTAATATTATTTATATATGAACATGTATAGACCTAGGAAATCATAATGAAAAAATATGAAGTCAGAAAATTCATATTAGTACAAGGCTGAGATTATATGATAAAAAAACTATCTGAAGTAAAGAAATGTCTGCCAAGAAGGAAATAAGCTCATATCTTAAAAAAGATACCATTGTACTTCCAAACCATCAAAGGAGTGTTAGCCACTTTTAATCAAGAAGGGAGTAACCAAAAAAACCTCTGTGACATGTTATATAATGTACTAACAGATTAAAATTATAGGTGGTTCTAGGAAAAATGTGTAAAAAGTAAAATTTTTTTTTAAATGCTATATTTTTGACAGCTATTTCCTAGACTGTACATCTGTGTCTTATATTACCCTAAAATAGGTCTTTTTTAAAAATTTAATTTTTTTTTTTTTAATATGCAAGAGCTGGGATATAGGCTAGAGGCGGTAGGGTGAGAGGATTCACCAGAGACAGAGCCGGGAGCAGAAGAGGCAGACTGAACGAAGTACACTGCTGAGGGGAGCAGCAGGCGAGGTAGGAGAGGTCTGCTTGCCATGTGGGAATCTCCCTGGCCAGCCAGGAATTGAACCCGAGCTGCAGAGGCCGCACCACCGGGGAGGCCCTAAAATAGGTCTTTTGAAATAAGGAAAGCATAGCATATTTAAGCAGTCTATGCTAACAAGACTGCTTTAAATTTTTAAAATTCTTAAAACATTTAAAAATAATTTCATATATATTTGATTCTGCCATCAATCCTGTGAAGTAGGAGATCAGATACATTGTCTTTATGTTACAGATGAGAAAATAGCAAGCTAAAAATTTTACATGACTTGGCAAATGCATAACAGCCAGAAGTAGAACCAAGGTCTTCTTACCCTTAACTCTGCACTCTTTCTGAGTTCAGTTTTACCCTTGTATTAAGTGAAAAATGTGATAGGTGAAAGTCATATTTTCTGTTAGGCATTGTACTAAAAGAACATACTGACTTGGATTCGTGAAGCAAGAAAAACTTAGTGGTCAAGAACATGGGCCTTGAAATTAGACAGACCTGCATTCCCCCAACCAATCCTTCTTTTTAGATTTGTGGCTTTGTATGTTTTTCTAGCCTCTGTGCTTCATTTTTCTTAACTTATTAAATGATAAATAATGAAATTTGCCTGTCAAGTATTTATTAGAATTACCTGATCTTAATATTTTTAAAGCATAGTGCTTAAATTAGCACATGGCATGTACTTTCCATGAAGATTTTTTAATTAGTAATTATTGGAACATGAGAGTTATTTCTGTGCATGAACTAGTAATAATACAGGTGTTAATTTGCCACTGCAGTTTTCTCTTGCAGTATTTTTTCATCTTTCAGTAATCTTTAACTTTTCTCAGTTCTTTTTTTGCCATTTTTTCACTATATTATACAACATTTTGTTGTTTTTCCCCTTATTTATATAACTCTTTTAAGTTGTACTTTTAGGTTTTAGTGGCCAGCTTCATGGAAACATTTTTTTAAATAACAAACTAAACTTTTTTTAAAGTTGATTTAATTCCCTAGTTATTTTAGGAGATTATAGCAAAGTGATAAACAATTAAAATTTACATAGAAATTTATATATTATGGATATTTTTCCACATATATTTTACTTTATCTCGAAACTTCCTATAAAAGTATAGGAGGAATCAGAAGGGCCATTTCTCTGTTTCAAATTTACAGAGTCAAATGAAATGTAGACTTTCATATTAACTCCAAAAATGGTTTAAAAAGACAAGTATCAGAGGAAAACACTGACTAGATTATGCTTTTCATTTATTTTTTGATTATTTATAATGTTGGTTTATAACATTGTATATGTTTTAGATATAGGCTTATACTCTTCAAATGTATGTTAGTATATCATGCCCACAGGATGATTTTCATTTAATTTGTGTCCTGTTTCTGGATTACACAACATGCTATGTCCTGTAAATTAGTATTTTTTGTAGATCACATAATGAATTATCTTTGGATTGGCACCATATGCTTTGTATAGTAATATGCTCAGTGTCTCAAACAGAAGTGTAAAGGCCTCTTCTGAATTTTAGTGGTGCTACTAGTGACAGAAAATTGCCTCAAACTGTATATACAATCTTCAATCCAAAAAAGAAAAGCATATGTGTTATTATTTTTTATGCTTTGTTTTATTATACATTAAAATCTACTTCAGTGGTTGTGTTTTCAGAATGGCCACAATCCCCTGTGATTTCTTTGGTGGCTGATATTTTATTTCTGATAGAATCAGCACATCATCTGTCTAAAAACTTTCATGAAAAAGCCTACAAAATTACTCATGGTATTATTGGTCCCTTTAAAATCTGTGCTTGTAAAATTTTAGTTTGTTCTTCTGCATGCTAAGTTCTAGAGAGGTCTTTTCAACTTTTGAATTCTCAGTTGGTTATTTAGTTTACTGATGAGTGTATACCAATTAGGGTGTCCATTCATTTTATTTATAAGCAAAATTCCAGTTGTATTTATGAAAACAAAAGTTACATGTTTTTAAACATGCAGCCATCTGTAGCTAATGATTTTGAAAATACATGTAGCTTGTCATCATAATCCTAAATGCTTCAGTATCAGAAATACCTTTTAGATGTTTCATTTTGAAAGAAACAGTTCCCATTCTCCAGATGCTTGGCTTTCAAATTATACATGTTTTATTTACTCAAGTTGAGTAGACAGAAAACTATCTCTTTTTCATTTTATTTTTTGCTTCTTCACAAAATCTAGTACATTGGGATTTCTAAAGGTGTTTTTTCCTTGTTAAATAAAAGTGGTAACATATACCTGAAAGATGTGATCCTTTACCTCTAAATAATACACAGTGTTGTAAATCAATGTTACTTCAAAAAAAAAAAAAAGCCACTAACTGTGATAACACCTAGCCAGCTTTCACCCTCAGGAACTAAATCACTCCAAAGGCTCTTATTTCAGGCAAATTAAAAGTGATTTGTGAGACATTTAAATTTTATTTTTAATTGTGGCAAGACATGTAATATAAAATTTGCCATGTTAGCCATTTTTAAGTGTAGAGTTCAATGGTGTCTTTGGTTTGCTATAACAAATAAGTCTGAATGACTTCAATAAACATTTGTATCTTGGATTTCCTGTTTGTTTTCTATCTTTGTATCAGTGGTTACAATTGCCTGTCAGTCTAACTATAAACCTTAAAGCCAACTTTGCCTCAGTCCTTGAGACAGATGGAAAGATCTGTTGACCCAGAGTAACCCTAGTGAATTTCATAAACTGCAAGTTTGAGTTTATCTAAACTATCCTTAATTTTTTTAATTGCTTACAGTATAAATTACAAACTTTCCATCATACTATAAAAAGACTTCATGATCTGTCCATAGCCACACTTTCAAGTCCCATCTGTTGCCCACTAACTACACATTCCCATAAAAATACCATTCATTTCATTTTTATTGATTGAATGGTTGATGGCACATTGTTAACCCTGCTTGAAATGCCTTTCCTTTCTTTTGAGAACTAGCCTGAATATTGCCTCCTCTCTAAAACTTTCCTAGATCTTCCTTTCAGGCAAAATTGGTTATTCTTTCTCCAGGGTACCCATTGTATCTGATATTCATCACATCACATATCACATAATTATGTCACATTAAGATAATTATTTATGAAAAAATAATTTCCCCAAAAGCTACTAATTCTTGAGGGTACTGATTTTCATTTTTATCTTTATAAGCCCTGGTACACGATGGGAAGTAAAGTTTCTTTTTAATCAGTGATCCAGATGCATATTCATTCAAATTTGGACCACTGAAAGAAATTTGTAACAAGTTTTCCTACATCTAGTAATTCTGTCTTGAATATATTGTGTATCCTGTCAACAGATATTAGAAATACAGTTTAAAATCAGCCTACAACTATGTTAATCACCCAAGTCAGTAGCTTCTGGTTATCTGAAATATAAAGTCTAAGATTCTGAGCCCCTAACAGCTACATGTCTGTCCGATAAAAGACATTTCCAATGTAAAAAGGTAATGAGATGAACATTAGATTATAGTTAGGGGATTAACCCAAGAAGAAATAACACTCATGTATGCATAAGTTGACAGAGCCACCAAGACCCGTGAGACAATTACTAACAACTAACTGGACATATGAACAATAGCACATCAATACCAACAGTACTGGGGGATTTTAATATTCCACTTACGGCTGTGGGCAAGCAATAAGACAGAATAAATAAGGAAACAAATAGACTTAAATGACCAAATAGACATAACAGATAATCATAGAACAATCCACCTGAAAACTGCTGCAAACACATTTTTTTTTCAAGTGCACATGGATCATTTCAAGACTCGACTGACCACATGTTCAGGCACAAGTCAGTTATCAGTAAAACCATGATGACTGGCATCAGACCAAGTACTCATGCTGACCATATTGCCATAAAGTTAGAAATCAATTTATTACATACAAACAAGAAAAACAGGTGACTAAACAATATGCTGCATAGTAGCTACTGGATAAAAGAGAAAATTGAAACAGAACTTTAAAAGAGCCTCTATGCAAATCAGAAAGTCTACATGATATGAGTCCCAGAATCTATAACATGCAGCAAAAATGGTCTTCAGAGAGAAGATAATTACAATACAGACCCATATTGAGAAATAAGAAAAAAATCCAAATAAACAATACTACACCAAAATCAACTTGAAAGGGATGAACAAGCCAGACCTAAGGTTAGTTGAAGGAAGGAAATAATAAAAAATAGCAGAAATAAACAAAATAGAGACCAAAGAGATTATTTAAGAGATCAGTGAAGCTAAAAGTTGGTTCTTTAAGAAGAAAAACTAGATAGGTAAACCTCTAGCTAGACTAACAAGGAAAAGAAAAGTAAACATTGAACAATTAGAAAAGAGAGGAAATTGCTATAGAAATAGTCTTCATAAGAGATTGCTATCAACAATCATATGCCAATAACCTCAATACAATGAGAACTACAGAGATCATTAAAGTGTTTAGATTGTGACATCAGTAAATGAATAGACAGACCATGCTCATAGATAGGAAGAATCAATTTAATCAAAATGATTATACAATTGTACCTAAAGCAATATATAAATTTTATTCAATTTCCATCAGACTGTATCTTTCAAAGAAATTAAAACATTTAAATTGTATATGGATCCATAAAAGACCTTGAAAAACAACCCAAAAACAACCCAGAGAAAAACAGGTATCACATTACCTGATTTAGTTTTCAAGCAACAGTAAAACAGTATGGTATTGCCATACCAATAGACAGATGGATCAGTGAAACAAAGAAATACACATGCATCATTACTTAATTTATAATGAAGCAGCTGTCATCATACATTTAGAGAGGAAGCTGGACAGCCATATGTGAAAGAATGAAGTTAGATCACTTTCTAACTCCATGTCCAAAAATAAATTCAAAATGGATTAAAGATTAATATATGACTTAAATTATATAGACGAAATATTGACCGTATGTTCTATGACATAAATGACAAAAGTTTCTGGAGACTTGATCATTATGACAAGGTAAATAAAAATAAAAAATAAACAATTGGGGGCCCTCCCTGGTGGTGCAAGGTGTTAGGCACCGCACTATGACGCAATCCGCGGCATCTGCAACATGAGACCGATCCCTGGCCAGCCAGGGAGCAACCTACATGGTGCAGCAGAGCTCTCCTGCTGCTCCCCTTAGCAGTGTGTTTCAGTCTGCCTGTTCTGTTCCCCACTCTGTCTCTGGTGAATCCTCTCACCGCCCCCTGCATCTCTAGCCTGTGCCCCAGCTCTTGTATGCATAAATAAATAAATCTTAAAAAAAATAAACAATTGGGGATAATTCAAATTAAAAAGCTTTAAACAGCTTCAACTTCTTCAACTATAGGGAAGGAAAAGACAAAATGTTGCCAATTATTGCAAAGGAATTTGAGGGAATTATGTGTAGTAGAGCAAATCAGAATGACAAAGACAAATATAGATGATTTGACAGCAAAATACTTATAAAACGTAGGGGATTGTGGTAGAGTATTATTTATGCTTTGCTTTATATAGAAAAAGCATTTATATATATAAAATGCTTTTAATTACCATTTATAAACACTGAGTTCCCTCTATTTGTATCTGCTTATTGTAATTATTCTGTTTGGAGTGTTCTTCATCCTTATCAAGATTTTACCTAATCTGTAGATGTATCAACCTCTTGTTTTATTGCTGTTACATCTTGCCACATTGGAATGAATTTCTTCCTCCTCCTCTTATATTCCTTTGATAACCTTCATTCTGCCTGTATCTTCTATATAAATCAATGGAGAAACGGTTTTGTGTCCTTAATTTTTGTTAACCATTAATATACGAAAAGATTGATGTGTAATTTTGGAAGAAAATCAAAATGAGGGGATATCTTCCTACTTTAAAGATTTATAATTGATATGAAAATGCTTTAATTGGATTTTTTTTACAAATGAAAATAATATAAATATTATTTGCTTACTTTAAGGGTTTCATTGGCTCTCCTGGAGAAGCAGGACAATTGGGACCTGAAGGACAAAGAGTAGGTCCATTTCCAATTTCACTTGTAAGGTGATACACTTATAATATAGAGGAGGGGTCATATACTCAGATGCCAGGCAGGTAATTTTACTGGGTAGAGCAAGTCAGCTTTAGGAAAAATCACCTACCAGAAATATAGCTAAATTTTCTTAAATTTTATACAAATATATTGTTCATTGAAGATGAATTTTTGAAAACCAATTGTATTAAAATACCTACTTATGAAAATATTGTGTTGTAACTCATTAATCTTTAATGTGTATATAAAATCTTGAATGGTCTTGTATTTTGTAATGCAGTATGCAGCAAATCACTTGCCCTTTTTTCTTTGATTTATTAATGGAGGTCAGCTGTTCATAAATGAGGGTACTTATGAATAATGATAGAGCCTTTTGAAAATGGTTTTACTGAAAAGACATAGTCAAGATACAGAATTCTAGCATATTTCATGATATCTAGCTTTTAGTGTCATATGCAAGTCAGTGATTCCTATCTGTGTTCCTTCACTTACAGTGAGACTAATTATAAAAAGTAAATGGAACAATGATAGTATATTTTCATAAAGTTTGAAATTAGAGGTTACATTCAGAAGTTAGCACTCCCTTCTATTACTATTGGAATGCTGCTCAGAACAAAATTTTTATTTATGGAAACTTGATAATTATAAATAAAAGTATATCATATTCTTTGGTAAGTGAATTTTTCAAATATGTAGTTTTTTTTAAGTTAATGAGTTAAATCACTTTTTAAAAAAATTGAGGTAATGTTGGTTTGCATTGTTTGTATTGTGTATGCTACTCAAAGAAGAAATATTTAGAGCTTAAATGTATTGTAATGATAATTAAAATATTGAGTCTTTTTTGGTGACATGAGGTGAAGAATTCCCCTTTGTGGACATGCAGTTCATTTCTTTCACTTGCAAAATTGCGTCAACGTGATCTCACAAGTATCATGTAAAGAACTGAGTTCCTCCTTCTTGACCCAAATGAGTATATATTGTTTACATTGTTAATTACTCTGTTGTTCATGATAGACTCTTTTTTTGATTTTAACATGAATTTATTTTTAGTCATAAAATAAATGAAGTATATATTCTTGCAAAATGTTATTGGATGTAAGGATCCTCTTGTTGACACTCCACCAATAGGAAAACTGCCTGTAATTATACTCACTAATTTTTATCAGTCTATATGAAAATATCAAGACCTGTGTCAAACCATAAATATAAAACCATCTTGCAATGTCTTGCTTATTGTGGGTACCATGTCCTAATACTTTTGACATTTCAAAGTTCTCATTAAAACCACCAATAGGGCCTCCCTGGTGGAGCAAGTGGTAAGACACAACCTATAAAGCTGTCTGCAGCCACTGCAGCACGAGTTTGATCCCTGGCTGGGGAGCTACCCACATGGCGCAGCAGACCTCTCCTGACTCACCCACTGCTCCCCTCAGCAGTGTATTTCAGTAGATCCTCCTGTTCTACTCCCCACTCTGTCAAATCCTCTCACCCCTGCCCCACACCTCTGGCCTACACCCCAGCTCTTGTATGCAGAAATAAATAAATCTTTAAAAAATAATAAAACCATCAATGGTCTAGCTAACTGGGTATTAATATTATGCTAATCAATCCTGAAAAACAAATGGAAGCAAAAGACCTTTTTAGAAGTCAATATAGGATAATACATGAAGAAGAACATATGTAGCTCTTTCTGCATTATCCTTTGTTTTTTTTGCCTAAACCTAGTGATTGTACTAGAGTTTTGGAAAATTAGTTTATTGCTTTATAAAAAACTGGTTATATTTTGTGAAAATGCATAAAGGTTTAATGAAATGAGTCCGCTTGGTCTAACGTATTAAGCCTTTATAGACAGACACCTCACATGAGCTTTTATCAACACTACTAAATTGAAATTGGATGGATGACTCCAGAAAATGATATCTTCTAATTTGTCTATATGTATTATAAATCCCAAACTACATAGTCCTGGCAGATTTCTTAGCTTTGAAGGCTTATAAGTGATAATAAGTCTCAAAGTAGTTAAATCAGTTAGAATGTTTTGGACTGCAAATGACAGACAACCCCAACCCAAACTGATTTAAAAATGAGACTTATTAAGTGGTTTTATATATATATATACACACACATATATATATCATATATATTAATAATATATTATATTAATACTATATTATTAATAATATACATGATATATATTATATATATGGTGTTATGCAAATACAGTTGACCTTTCAGTAACATGGGTTTGAACTTCATGGGGCCACTGAGAAGTGGATATTTTTATAAACAGATGATATAAACTTACAGTATTGATAAATACAGTATAGTACTGTACATTATTTTCACTTCCTTATGATTTTTTATTTTTTTAAAGATTTATGTATTTATGCACGAACTGGGGTATAGGCCAAAGGTGGGGGATTCACCAAAGATAGAGTGGGGAACACAATAGGCAGATTGACTGAAATACACTGCTGAGGGGAGCAGCAGGCGAGTCAGGAGAGGTCTGCTGTGCCATGTGGGTTAGCTCCCTGGCCACCAGAGATGGAGCATTGAGCTCTTGGCTGTGCTGCAGTCACTCTGGATAGCTTCACGGTGCTGACACTTAACCCCTTGTGCTACCAGGGAGGCCCTTCCTTATAATTTTTTAAATAAATTCTTTCTTCCAACTTTTTTGTAATAATACAGTGTATAATGTATATATCAAAATATGCTAATCAACTGTTTATATTATCAGAAAGGCAAGTCAACAGCAGGCTATTAGTAAAGTTTTGGGTGCTCAAGGATTTGCATCTCTAAATTCCCACATGGTTCAAGGGTCAGCCCTACTTCCAATGAATTAAACTCTTTTAATGCTCACAAAGCCCAGTGAGATAAGTACTATTATTATTATTTTCACTGTAGATTAGGAAAATGAGGCACACACAGAAAGGAAAGATTTGGCTAAGACTATATAAGGTAATTGGAGCAGAGGCAGGATTTGAACATAAATAACTGGCTCTGAAACTGAATATTTGGATACTAAGTTGTACTACTTTGTGCAAGAACTTAAATCCATGGGTTAGGTGGGATCTTGGTACAGTATGATCTTGAGCACAGCAATATCATCCTCTGCTTTTCTGTTCCCCATGTAAGCTTTATCTTAAGACTGGATTCCCTTGTGATTGCAAGATTGCCAGTGTAAAAGCTAAATCTGCCTTTGTTTATGTCCAGTCATAAAGACCAGGAGACAGAAAGGAGATAATTGCCCCTTAGGTACGGCAAAAAAGACCTTCCTGTCTGGTTATGCCAACTTTGGTTGAATGCGTACCACCAAACTAGTAACTATCACCAGAAGAATAAAAGGATCTGGTATGGAAGTACAGACAGTGTGGTTCTTGGAGAAAAATCTGGGTTTTGTTATAAAGAAAGAAAAAAGGGCCACTTGATTGATGTTTGAGGGATAAAAGATCTGTATTGTCTACTCATTCATTTATTCAACAAATATTTACTTTTGACTTTTCTATATTCTAGGGTGTTCCTGGGGTCCGTGGGAAGAAGGGTCTTAAGGGAAGACAGGTAATTTGATTCTTTTTTCTTAAGGTTTAGTGCAGAGCAACATATCTAAGTCTGAGCTTATATCTCAACTTTTGCCTATGAATGTAGTTGTCTGTGTTCTCACCGATCACAATCCATTTAACAGAGTTCAATTTTTGCCACATCAGTAGTCTATCAATAATGCCTGAGAATGTAAAAGAAATTTTAGATTTTAAAAATAATTCTGAATTTAACACTTCTAACCCTTTTAATATACCAGTGAGAGAAACCTTTGTCTTCATAATTAGGAGACACAATGTCACAGAAAATACACAATTAAAAATATTAATAGTATCCTGTTTTAGAAGATGCAGAAATGCCTGCTAGAGATTATTACTTCATAATCTAGTTAACTACATAATCTTATGTTTTTGCATTTAAAAAATCATAGAAAGTAAATTTTACTAAATAACATAGTAATTTCAGAGATGGGAAGAAATTTTGACATCATCCTATCTCCCAAATTGTACAAATGAGAAAACTGGGGTTCAGAGAAGTGTCTTCAGATTAACCTGACTGAATCACTGAAAGGCCACCTGCTTTTCAGTTTACTACTATTCAAAGAGTATTTAGGGTGAGATATTCTGTGCTACACTACCTTCCGTATGAGGACGAAACTTGAATTTTTAATAGGTTTTCCTAAAATTTTGGTGAATATAAATATAATGCTGATGGATTACAAATGTCTCCAGAAAATTTATATCCCTTTAAAGCATTTAATTATTTTAGCTTTGTAATTTTTCTTGAAAATATATTAGAATAGGTATTAATGTTACCATTATATAGGTCAGGAGAATTAGGTCAGTGATGTTAAAATACTTGTTCTCAATCACATAATTAAAAATTAAATCAAGAATTGAGCCCAGCTGCTCTCAATGTAAACCCAGGATCCTTTCCTTAGTACTTAGGTATCTCTACTGTCAATTATACTAATATGCTTACAAGAGCATCATTTATTTTCTATGATGTTTGACCAAAATGTGATAAAACTATATTTTGTCCATTTTAGATTTTAATTTATTAAGAAAAACTAGCCAATCTGTCAAGAGATTTTAAAAAATTCTTGCCTTTATATTCAACTTTAAAGCTAATCTGAAAAGGTACGATCCTATTCCTTGGAATCATATACAGTGCTATAAACCAATGTTACCTCAAAAAAAAAAAAAAAGAAACTTATCAGTGGCAATTATAGCCACAGAAACTATTACCATTACTATTACATCATCACCATTTTTCATTCTCAAGTACTTTATTAGATTTTTGTATAACATATCGATTAATTCTATATTATTATGCTTCACTGTGTTGGTACGTTACTTTTTTTTTTTTAGCCCCTTGAATATCTTCTCAAAGCCCCTGCACATATTACTGAAGTAATTAATAAGTTAACTTCATTTATTAATAAATTAATAAGTTAAGGTTTAGTGCAGAGCAACATATCTAAGTCTGAGCTTCATTTATTAATACTGGTCTTATACAGACATAAATTCTATCTTGGCAGTAGGTAATTTAGTGTCCTACTCCATAATGAACTATAAAATTATCCATGAAATTTCTGGTTTTTACTCCATGAGAAATTTTAAAATTATTCAGCAGGTTGCCATTGAATTCAAAAGAGGAGTTCAAGAAAGCTGTGGAAAAATAGTGAATGGAATTATTATTGGGTTCTTCATTTGATTGCAGCACTGTTGCTTTCATTACAAAATTTGTAGTTTTATTGCTTTAAAAATATGTGCCTTTTTTAAATAGATTTAAATCCCTTAGAAAAATTATATTTGAAAAGCACATGTATTTTGTTTTCCTTAAATAGTATTTATAATAGAATATCTGTCTTATGTTTTAAAATGTCATATATGCGATATATGCTTGTTTTTAACTGCAACACAACCATGTTTATGAGGAAACCGCTGTGATTAGAGTAAGATACATTACAACCACAAGTCAAATTATGCCATGGCTGATCTCAGAAACTGTTTTAGGTATTGAGCTATGTATAAATGCTACTACCCTATGTTCTGTTTATTGTAAGTAAAATCATCTTTTGCTTTGGAGGGGAATTTTAACATGCAGTATTATACATCAAGGGATGTGAGTATTTTAATTTATGTGATTATGATTCTGACAGAATGGTCATTGATTGTTTTAATAATCATAAAATGAAAGTATCTTTTGATATTTCTACTTTATTTGATATGCAAAATAGCAGATGTGTGGAATACAAATATGGCTATGTATTAAATTGTCTATTGGAGTTATTATTATATTTGAAACAGATATTCCAATACAGAGGCAGAACTAGAGGTTTACAGCTACCATAAAAAATGACAGAAAGCTATACATCTGAAAGAACATGACTTTTTTGCATTATGAGATGGAGGACATGAGAATAAAATACTGCCAGTAATAAGCTTAGAAAACTTCATAATTCAGGCTGACATCTTTCCAAACACTAATCAAGATGAACTTTTGCACACTATTGAGTTTGTTTTTGACTTGTATTGATATAGTTAACAAAATATTAAAAAATATATAGACATTGTATCGCATATACACATAGCACAAACACGTAAAAGAGTAATAAAAGTCATGTCCAGAGTTGTTCAGTGAATTAGTAACATTGCTAAGCTTAGATTTGAATGTTACCATAAATCATATGCTCATCCTGCTGGACAAATGATCACTTATTTCCCTGAGTATATACTAAGCATGTTATTAAGTTGCTGTGAACCAACTCCCTAGTGATGTCTATATTTTTAAAATTATACTTACAAGTAAAGGATACCTTCTGCTAGATAGTATAAATACTGAAAATGGACACATTAAAATATTATTTTGCTCATTTAAGAGTTATTTATTATCTGGCCTCATATTAGTATTTTTGAAATTAATTATTATTTCATTACTTGGTAGAAAACTTTTTACCAAAGTCAAACATTGCTTTTATTCAGTGTTTACAGATGAGCTGATGTTTGTAACATCATCTGTTTTTGTTTTCCACCAGGAAAAGTAGGAAATTTGATTTTGTTAGGAATTTGGTATACTTTAGGATCAAAGAATATGAAAAGTAGATAAACAAATTTATTTGTTCCTTGGTCTTAGGTTGTTAGCATTTGAAAAGTTTTTCTTGTATTATAAGCTACTTTTAAACATCAAGTTCTTAATATGAGATAGTTGCTAACCACAATAGTTATTTTTAAAGTCTTCATATAATCAGTTACAAATTAGTCAGTATTTGTGTACTTAAACGCTTTTGGATGTTGAGACATATTTTCACTTCTTCCACTCCTTCCTTTATATTCTCTCTCCATGTCACAATTGGATCAAAATCATTATTGCCAATTAACATTTGAGGACAGCCAGGGAGCATTGGGTACCTTTCATAGAACCATCCTTTGAGGATGTAGAAGTTCAAGAGCCTATTAATCAGTTCTTTTATCTGTGGTTATTAGGGTTCATCTCAAGGTCATTCTCCAGAGATCTTGGATGAAAACAAGATAATAGGCAATCTTTATTGTTCAGAACTGAAATACCATAGAACTACTGTTCTATTTAATTGTTTTACTGTCTTTGAGAAGCTTCTTGGAGCATATCTGGTATGTACCAGATTCTTTAAAAGCATAAACGTATCCACTAATTTATAATAGAAAGAAAATGCTTTTTTAAAATAATTAAGGAAGGCAGAGAGAGGATTTGTATGTATTTGCTATCTTTAGGTTTTTTATATATTACCTAATTCTGAGTAGCTTCTTTTTAATATATTACCTAATTCTGAGTAGCTTCTTTTTCAAACTTCATACTGTAGTGCCACAATCAGGAAATTCTTTAGTTGCTTTAAAAAAACATGTTAGTGGGCTCCCAGATTGATTTAGTCAGTAGTCTCTTATACTAAATTGGTTATGCAGATTTATATGGCTCCACAAACCTAAAATATTTATAGGGGCCTCCCTGGTGGCGCAAGGGGTTAAGGCACAGCCTATGAAGCTGTCTGCAGCCAATACAGCACAAGTTCGATCCCCGGCCAGGGAGGTGACCCACATGGCACAGCGGACCTCTCTTGTCTCACCTGCTGCTCCCCTCAGCAGTATGTTTCACTGGATCTGCCTGTTCTGTTCCCCACTCTGTCTCTGGTGAGTCCTCTCACCCCTCTGCACCTCTGGCCTGCACCCCAGCTCTTGTATGCATAAATAAATAAATCTTTAAAAAAATAAAATATTTATGCCAGAAATGACTTGTTGGGATTCAAAACAAACATGAAATTGGAGATGGAAGTTACTCCCACCAACATCTAGAAAACTGTTGTCAAAATACAGAGATTTTCTAAGAAGCTTTTCAGACCTGATAGTGGATTATAAACAATCAAATCATGTCACATTCAACATTTGGCAAAGAGAAAGTGTGTACTCAGTTTCGTTCTATGAAAATCAAAATATCACTACTTTAAATGGTGGATATTTTCTCAAGGCACCTGGACTACAGAGATGTTTTCTTGCCTAACTATAGAAAGGAGTGTCTCCGCCTTGTTTTTTCAACATCTTTGTTAGAAGAGTCTATTTAAAGTAAGCTGTATTTTGGCTTCTAACTTCAGTGTTAGAATTTCAGAATATAAAATCCTTCTGTTAAACATCTGTTACTAGTTTCTATCCTTAACCCAAGACAATCTTAAATACATATTGCAAAGTAGGGTCTCAGATACATTCATTTTATGGAGAATTCGGAGACAGAGTTTTCTTTGTTTTAGGAAAAGTTTGCAGTTAATTTGAGCATAAAGAAAGTACTATTGTCACTAGCATTATGAAAAATTATCATTAATTGTTAGGTGATTCTACCTTTCAGGAAAAATATGATTTCTGGATTCTACTTTACTGAGCTTAGTCTTTAGGAACTGTATCTGACTAATTGAAGCCTGACACAGTGTATGGAATTCAACACATCTTCAAAGTTGGGACAGACACAGAAAAGAGAAACACCAAGTGAATTACTTG